TGGTAAAAATCTTCTATCTCCTCTTCCTTGGCTCTGGTTGTTGGTGCATATATTTGAATGATAGTGGTATTCACTGCACTTCCTTGTATGCGTATAGATATTATCCTGTCACTGACAATATTGTACTTCAAGATGGACCTAGCAATGACTTTTTTAACTATGAAAGCAACTCTATTTTTTCTCACCTTTTCATCTCCGGAGTAATCATACTTATGTTTTATAAAATTAATCACCATTGGAATGTGCCCATCATTACCCTTTCTTTTCACCCGAATCCTTCCCATTTGCTTCCCCCGCCCAACAAACTGTGCAGCCCTGTGGTTTCACCCCTATCTAACCTCACTCCTTTGTTCCACTCCCCTTGAGTTCCTGTACATGTTTTACTAGTTAATTCTTCTATTTTTACAATAATGTTCTTCTGCAGTATTTGTCCTTAGGATACCACGTTAGTTCTCTCAGCATAAAGTTCTCCAGTCTTTTTCAGGTTACATAGTGTTTTTCAAAATCATTGCTCCTGAGTGCTGCATACTATTCCATGGTGTGAATATACCACCATTTCTCAATTCATTTGATTGTGATTAGACATTTTGGCTGTTTCTATGTTCTTGTAATTGTGAATAATGCCTCTATGAACATTGGTGTACAAATCTCCATTTATGCCTCAGTTCTTGTTTCCTTGGAGTATATTCCTAGCATTAGAATAGCTGGGTCATTCATTGTTGCATTTTTCTCCCCACCAATGAATGAATGACTGAATGGAATTCCAAAATCTCAGTAGGTGTTCATTGAAATTAATAATAATAATTTAAAAAATTTATAAAAGAATGAAAAAGAATAGCTGGGTCATAAGGAGTTTCTATGTTCAGCTTTTTGAGTAAACAGCTCTGCCTTCCAGAATTATTGCATCATTTTACAGTCCCAAAAATAGTGTATGAAAGTTCTCCCTTTTCACACAATCTCCCACATTTATTACATGCTGTCCCACTAAATTTTGCCACTACTACTGCAGTGATATGGTATCTCATTGTGGTTTTGATTTGCATCTCTCTTATTGCCAGTGATTTTGAGCATTTCTTCATGTGTCTGTTGGCCATCTGAATGTCTTTCTCTGTGAAAAGTCTCTCCATGTCTTTTGCCCATTTTGTAATTGGATTATCAGTTGTCTTCTTCTGGAGGCCCCAGGAGTATTCTGTATCCTTTTGTTATGAGAATCTTGTCCAAAATGGTATTGTCAAACGCTTGTTCCCAGTCAGTAGACTTTCTTTTCACCATGTTGGAAATAGGTTTTGATGAGCACAGAGTAGAAGTAAGTTTTTAATGCCCTTAGATAATTTCCTAGATACTTGCTAGATCATATACTATTAGATCATAGCAGACCCTCCAGCAGGTTTTCAGAAGCAGTAAATCCCATGGGAGGAGTTTGCCCATCTTTCTCCCATGAAGAAGCTAGTTAATTCAACTGACTTTGAATTGGCAGCACCATGGTTGGTGGAGAAGAGATTGAGGTTGTTAACAATTTCCTCTCTCTTGGATCCACAATCAACACTCATGACACGAGCAGTCAAAAAATCAAGATGAGTTGCTTTAAGAAAGTATCCTGTGAAGGGCCTCTTAAGAGTGCAAAAGACCAACAATGTCAGTCTAAGGAGACTCTTTAGTCAAGAGGCTCAGGTGCTCCTGATCAGGCTATAGTTTTCTTAGTTGCTTAACATGCACCTGAAAGCTGGGCAGTGACTTAAAGTTGACAGAAGAGTCATCAATGCTTTTGAGTTGTAGTGCTGGAGAAGAGTATTGAACATGCCATGGACTGATAAGAGGACAAAGAGGTCTGCCCTGGAGAGAGTGAAACCAGGTAGCTACTTGGAGGTAAGGATTTTGAAACTTGGTTTCACATACTTTGGGCATATTGTCAGGAGGGACCAGTCCTTGAAGAAGGACAGTATGCTTGGAAGGGTAGAGAATCAGTGCAGGAGAGAAACCCTTGAATGTGATGGATTTAGATTAACACAGTGACTGGGAGTAGGGTCAGATGTGTCACAGAGACTGTCATTGGCTCAAGATAGGGTAGGGTTCAGAGCTATTGTTCATAAGGTCGCTGTGAGTCATAATCCATTCAACAACAATAACAACAACATAAAAAGAGTAGGTTGATTTTATAAGAAAGCTACTTCCAAAGGAACTGCACGAAGTTGCTCCATATCTTTGCAGCAGTTGGTATTGCTTTTTCCTTTTAGGCAGTCTACTTGACCGTTCACAACAACACTGTGTACTGGCATATTATTCTTGTTTGATTTGTGTTTCCATAGTGACAAATGATGTTGAACATATTTGATTGTTGTTGTTTTTGTTGTTGTTATTATACCAGTTTATTTGCAAAATTTGTATACTTTGTTTTTCATATCAGTCTTCTAATTTCCCTTATCCCCTCATCAAATTGTACAACCCCATGATTAATCCACCCTGCCTGCACATCCTCATCCCTCTGTTTCCACCCTCCCTATTTGGATCCTCATACTCAATATATAATAATGGTTTTACACAATATTTGTCCTTGTGGGACTGAGTTCACTCAGCATAATACTCTCCAGTCCCTCTGGATTATTTTTAATTTTTGCACTATTTACTACTGGGTAACCTCCCCCTCTTGTTCTCATATCTTTTATTTTCTATTGGTTTGCTCACAAAGTTCGTATACGCTGTCTTTCATTCATAATTGTATTTTATACAGTTATTCACATTTATTATGTTTTATAAAATCAATCACCATTAAACCTTGACCATTGTTACCCAGTCTTTTCCGTTCATGACTAGATCCTTCTCATTTCCTTAACCTCTTCCCTCCACCGACCAAACTGTGAAACCCTGTGGTTTGCCCCATCCAGCCTCACCCCTCCACTCTTAATCCTTCTCCCTTTGGGTCCCTATACATTTTTTACTAGTTATCCTTCTATTTTTACAATAATAGTCTTATGCCGTATTTGTTCTTATGAGAC